GCATGAATTTCTGTGGAAACAAGGGCAGCCAGTGAGAAGGTACTGCTATGTTATTCCTATTGTTATATGGAGTTCTGACCCCAAACCTAAGTTTTCTGGCTGCCAAACTGAGCTTTTGGTCAATTTTATATCTGCAAGGTACTTTTAGCCAGTCGGCAGCTTCAGCGAGCCGGGAAATCTGACAAAACCGTGCTTTCGGACCCATCACTGCACCGTTTTTAAAAATCGCTTCTTGAAAAATGAAGGGAAGACAACAGCTCTTCCCAGGCCTTCCTAGGTAAGGAAGGCTTTATGCAGGCGATGAGCTTGACTAATTTAACAATACCTGTGTCTGAGTTTAAAACTAAAACCCCTCAAAGTATTAATATGAGCTTCCTATGCCACTAGGAAATTATTAGCACTCGTTAAAGCAAACGTTTTTAGAAGGATATTCTTTCCACCTCTGTGTGTTTGGAGAAGCTTCAGCATTACCTCCATATTTTGCTGATGAAGCGGTGTCTTGCAGTGATTTTTCACAGACGTTTCATCTGCGTAGAACAGCGAGCAGATCTGACAGAAGAAGCCTGCCTTTGGAACCAGGTAATCCAAATCTGAAGAGACAGCACACGTTATGAACATGAACAAACAGCATGAACAAAACAGAGCTTTAAAAAAAAATAAAAAAATCAGATTCCTTTAGCCAAATCTGTAGAATTTGTTATTACTGGAAGGAAGTTAGTTACATTTTTTCAGTATTCAAAAAATTAGGCTTTAACCCGAGTCGGTCACCTGCCCTACTTCCAATCAACAGAGAAGGAGACATACTTTTCTGTGAATAGGACAACTGACCTTCTGGATCTGAAGCTCACTGCAACTACTTCAGCGTCTCTTGGCCTTAAAGTATTTTATATACAACTCATTTGCCAAGTTTAACCTCTGTCCTGCAGTGTGTTACGCAAGCATTGTCTGTCACGGAGAATACTGCACAAGCCATCAGGCAAGGATCTGTATTTTCCCAGCAACTTCTTTTACGGTTCAAGTGTATCAGTAGCTTTATATGAAAGTATTTAGATGAGGATCTTAGAATATATATACACACACACACATATTTTTAAAACAATGTAAGCAGTTCCCTCCTTTCTATAGACTGAAAGTTGGTAATAAAACTCGTAACAGGATTAGAACAGTAGATAGATATTACAGTGCACTGTGCTAATTATAAATACATTAGCCCATATTTGTAAATTAAATTTTAGGAAAAAAAAGAACTTTCAACTTTGCTGCTGCTATTAAGCCGACAGCAGAAACTTGTTAAACATGCATTTGTAAGAGCCAAGACACAAACACAAATTATGGGCCATGACTTCGAAGTTAAATGTGGTAACGAGGCAAAGGAGGCATTTTCAAACAGGCAAGAAAGCTGTCTTCCAGCAAGAAAAGTACGGAGCACTTGGGGTGGGCTTTTGAGTTTTTACCTTTTGGAGTACTCTGTGTCTTTGATGCATCTGAAGAAGCCATTTTCTTCCGCTTAGACTCTGGTTCTTTATCTCCTGATCCCAGCTGATCTACTGAAGGCCATAAACGCACGTTAAAGAAAGGTATCCGCTAGTTTAAAGGTATTCTGTACCTAGCTGTAATGGCTCGTTACCGCTCGAAGCAAACTGTTTTCTACACTATCCGGTTTGGTCTTTCCACAGAGCAATTTTCAGGAACCCCTGACATCAATCCCGCGGCCAAGACTGCCAAAGGCAGCCCCGGTGCTAAGGAGAATGACCCCAAAAGCGCTCTTGACCACACGGCACTCTTCACAGAAGTACCACCGCCGCTCTCAGCCGCCTTCCCCTACAGCTCTTATCAGCAGCTTCAAACCAACTTTGTGATTATGATCGCAAAAATCCCAACTTCTTTATAATACAAGCCACCAAGCTTTCTGGAATTAATCTAGCTCGAGGTCCAACAGCAGTATTTCAGCTTCCTTACAGAACCAGTCAGAGCCTACCGAACGCGTTACCGGATTAACCAGCTCTAAGGAAAGATCAAAATCAACATTTTAAGATTTTTCTGGAGACAAGGAATTTGGCAGTCTCCTCTAATACAAGATAAACAAGGTGTTTGTTTTTTAGACTATCAAAGCAGTCCAACCGGCAGGTGAAGAGTCACACATCAAAAATATGTTTTCTTTCTATCTTCAAATAATCTAGATACCGATATGTCCTAAACAGGGTTAACGCAGTAAGTCCATTCCCTTTATAACAAAAACCAGGAAGCTGTTGAAGGAACGCAGACAGCACCACTCTTGCATCCCCGAGATGCTTCAGCAGACTGCGAGTGTCTCCTCGCATCATCAACACACGAAGTTTCAGAGTTGGCTCTTTACCAGCTGCAGTCTGACTGCCCCCCTTTTTACTGTTGGCCTGAGGCAAGCAATAAACCGTTTCCTATTTCGCTGCTGGAGTCAGATTTTAGGACTTGAGAACTACGGTTTTACCCGCTTTAACCTCTCCTTCCCGCTTTTCTTGTTCTACTTCTCAAACTCAAGAGGAACTAGTCCTTTCCTAAGCCACCTCTTTTGCCTGAGGTTTTTACTATACCGAGTATAGTAAAATCACTTATTTACTGTGTATCAAACATATTTATTATAATTTGTCACTACCGGTTAGATCAGAAATCAACTCAAGGGCTCGGATATTTTAAGAGGTCTTTTTACAGCTAACTTGCAAATAGAACACAGAAAATATTTTGCATTTTCAGTAAATGCTTTTGTTCATCATGGAGAAGCTTATGTTCTATAACATTAAGAAGATTAAAACAATATAAAACATTTAGATATTTTTGGGGGTGTATAGAGTCAACTAATCCCTTTCCTAATGTTTACAGAAACTGAAGTTTAAAATACTCTGTTTCAAGCAAGACGTCTGCTGCTTCTGCAGCTCCTCCGTATCTGCACTACTCAGGTTGCCTCTGCTACGCAAAGAATGGAGAAAAGCTTTCCCAAAACATTAGAACAAAAGGTGCTGTGTCAGTGCTCAGCCACATCAGCAGAGACAGAGAGAAAACTCGAGCCTAGCGTACTGCATCACACAGAGCCTTCACCCACGCTTTGGCCAAAACCCCTCTGCCTGTTGGTTATATATAGCTCTCCCTGCTTGGCTCCGTGTTAGACTTTCTTAACCCTTTGCTAATTCCATGCTACAGATGTTCTTCTACATTCTTTCCTCCAGATCCAGCTTGGAAGCCGTTACGTCTTTGTATCTGTGTGTCTATTTAATTTGACTCACCTCAATAAAGTTTGGCCCTGTAATTACAGACTATAAATAATCTGTGTTAGGTAGTTTACCAGGCCTTGCATTAAAAGCAAGAAAAGAAACTATTTTCCCCAATTTTAGCCATCATAAACACCAAATGAACACTGCAAATCACTATGCAGCTTCATTTCACATCAAAAGGAAGATGCATTGTAAAATGCATTAATAAAATATCCTACCTTCGGGCCGTTGCTCACACTCCATCTCCGTTCTTTCCCCAGCATCTCTTTCATCAACTTTGTCAGAAATTTGGGGTTTTTCAGTTTCCTCTATTTGCTACAAGGATCTCTGTGCGTGGCGCTGACTACAAGCATCTTATTTTCTAGTTCCCCTCTAGACACTATGAGAAGTTCCTTACCTTTTGACTTTGAGATTGCAATAATTTCTTCTTCTTGACTCATCTCTCCTAGAATTTCCATTTCTTCTGGTCCTGCAACAGCAACAATATCCTCCTCTTCTGGTCCTGCAACGGCAGCAATTTCTTCTTCTTCTGGTCCTGCAACAGCAACAATATCTTCATCTTCTTCCTCGTTCAGATTTTTCCCTGGGGAAGTATTTTCTTCTTCCTCATCCTCCTCTCCAACTTCATCTACTGTAACAAAGTTTAGTTCTTCTTTTAGACGATCGAAATCAGCCAGAAAGTCATCTTCATCTTCGTTAACTTCATCCAAAGTCACTAGAGGGTTATCTTCATTCTCCTCTTGTATTTCATCCACTGTCACTAAAGCACTGGGATCATCAGGCACCTGGGAGGAAGCACAATCTCCCGTATCCTCAGCAGTCACTTTATCATCCTCCTTCTGTTTCAGCACATCCTCAATATTCAAGTCTGTAGGCTCGTTCAGAGGCAGCTCTTCCACTTCACCGATTTCATCTACGGTTACCAAGGGTTCGGCTTTCAAATCCTGCTCCTCAAAAACTGACCTAGGGATGTCTTTATGAGAACTAAGGTCCTCCTGTTCAGATATCTCATCCAAAGTAACAAGCGACTGTGGATCCTTCACTGCTTCTGACATAAGTTCTTCCTCTTCCATCACCTCATCCACTACAACCAGGCCCTGCGGGTCACTGAGCGCTTCTAAATTAGCAACTCCCATTAGCTGTGCAGTCACATCCTCCTCCTCGCCGATTTCATCCAAAGTGACAAAAGAGAGTTCGCTTTCAGCAATGCGTGCTATGGAGCTTTTCCCTTTCCTTCTCTTAGAACTAGGCTCAGAAGAGGAGTTGGTTTTAGCACCATCTTTTCTCTTTCCCCTCGGTGGATTTCGCCGTGTTTTAACGGGAGACTCAATTTCCTCTACGACCTCATCCACAGTAACAAATTCATCCAGGTTAAATGGAAAGAGCTCTTCTTCCTAGGAAGTGTAAAAATGTGAATGGAACGAGTTTAACATTCACCCAGTGACACAAACACCTCCATCCACAGAGTGCCTAATGAAAAATATCTACGTGCTGAACCTGGCTGAAGGGGGAAAAAAAAAAGCAACTTGACTTAAGGGTAGAAAACAATTTTCAGGCCTTCAGTCTCATGTCGAAGAGTTTTCATTATCAGCGTTTGTGTTAAGTAAGCAGATTTAATTCAGAAACCCAAAACGTATTTCAAAAACACAGCGGATGAATAGGCAAAATCTGTCTATTAACAGAACTGGGCCGATGCCCTGAATACTCATGTATAGTTTTGCACTCACTTGCAGGAAGACTAGTGAAAATCTGAACACCTCCAGAGTATCCTTCAAAAATACTATTATCTTGTGTCATACCTCATTCTCTTCCCTAAGCGTCTGCTGTTGGCCGCTGCTACAAAACAGGAGACGACATCGGATGTTTCGATGCAGCAAAGTCATTCTGTGTCCTGGTGACTACTCACTGTTTTATCTTGGTTTCAATCTCCTAACAAACATCTCTGTTTCGGAGAGGTTCTCCAAGAGGTTCTCCGATGGCCGTACGCTCCAGCCCAGAAAAGGGCTCCCAGCACTGGAACCTCCCTTTGTTTCTCTATAACCAAGACGTACAAGGAGATAATTTTCTCCTTTCTGTTACGGTCCGACTAGCCCCACAGGCACTCTGGCAGACTTGCTGCTCCTCCTGTGCCAGCCGTCGTTCGTTAGGGGCCAGGGGGCAAGCTCCAGCTCTCTGGCAAATGCCTTACTGTATTTTTATGTGTAAGATGACAGAGCCTGACCCCTTTCTAATTCTCCTGGGTCAGTGGCATGCTCTTACTGGAGCATGTCTTGCACCTGAAACTCCCCCTACCCTGCAGTTTGACCATGCCAGCTTCCATCAGGGCTCACACAATTTATTCTAGGACCACTGGAAAGAATTAGCAGCAATTTAATGCCATATGCAGCTGAGAACATCTGGAGGAGGATGTATGGATAAATGCTGAATTTAACAGAAGAGTGAATTAACCCAAATTACTTTTAGGTTATTTGAATAGACATGTTTTTGCAACAGAGCATTATACTTTGTTCACTGTAAAATAGCTATGCTTTTATAATCGGGATGGTAGGATAGTGTGGGTAAGTGGGTACTTAAGTCAATTAATAAATTTAGACATTAAAACGCATCCAAATGCCCGTTGCACCACAAATTATGTATTCAATTTCTTCAATGAACGATTCTGAATTTTTTTTTTTTGCAAAACGTTCCATCCTACCATCAAATACTGGTCGGTATCTAACACAAGAAGAGTGAAAAAACCCTTCTCAAAGCAGAACTTTAAGGCCAAGGCAAGATGAACTTTCCTGTTAGAGAGTCAGACTGCAGCTAAGAAATACTAAAAACAATCCTCCAGCAGAAAAAGTAATCTGAACTTCAAAGGCTACATGCCTTTTCTTCCCTTTCTTTTTTAAAAAGCTAACGAATACCAAGAATAATGTGTGCCTCCACCCACCTTCTGATGCAGAAACTTGAGGAATATTTAATGCAAGGTGGGCACAGTGAAGAAAAAGAAAGAATGTATCTGGTTACATTTCAGCTGAAATCAAAAACATTACTGTATTCTTTCTCCCATGAAAAGGAGAACACAAGTCTTAGTTCTTATCAGCTGTACAACAGTGAAGAATAAAGGTGTAAGAAGTAATAGACGTTACAAAACCCTTTTCAAGAGGTGCAGAATTTCCTCTCGGGGATTAACAAACACATCTGGAACATCAGATACGAAAGCGTTCTCTATGACCATCGCTACCACCAACCTCACAAACACGCTGTGCTGGTGATGCAGTAAGTTTACGTGGATAAAGATTAATAAAAGGATTCAGGTCTCCAACTTTATCTCGGAAATCCCTTTTCCATAGGGTCCCACTACTTACCTGGTAGATCTTTGATTTGATCCTGTAACACTACTTCTACAATCTCATCAATATGGATTTTTATTACCTTCTTTCTATTTTTCTTTCCCAAAGCCCAAGCTGTCTAAGAGAGAGAGAGGGTATCTCTTTTCACCTTTCTGTAAAAATGCAGACTGAGCAGTTGAGCCTATAGGCTCCCAAGCTCTTCTTCAAACCAACACTGCACCAAAAATGTACAATAATCCTCGCTTTGCGGAACAACCCACTGGAAATATCCTTGCATGGAAGAGGTACCATGGATGGAGATGTTTGACTACCTCCTGTTGTACAAAATCATTTATAAAGAGCTAGAAGACTTCAGCCTTCCTTCCTCCTCTCACAAGTGTGACGATGAATAAAGATCTTATGCAGGCAGCTGGGGATCCAATAAATTAATTCTCTCTTTCTCAAACAAATGATATCCGAGACCAAAAAATACCTCCTCTTAACACCCACTTCCTGAATTAAGTTTCTCTTCCAAATTACTTGTCTTTACAGCTTTATGCCCACAGTCTGTAACAACTAGCAACGCAAAAAATTCCCCAGGGAAGGACGCTAAAGACTCTTAGTACACACACACACACACACACGCTTTCAAGACAATCTGACTTCAAGCTCATTTATGGTTACATCCTTACCTCCTTTTCTTTTGCACTGCTGCTAGTGCCACTTTTTGAAGTTTTAGTATTGCCGCCAACAGAAGCCTGCAAAATTAGACAAAAGTTCACATGAAATCAGTTAAGCCAACTAACTTGTCCACAAGAGAAAAAATAATTTTAAAAAAATCAGCTATTTTTTCCCTTAATGAACTTTCTTAAGTTGTCCAGATTGCTGCTTCTGATCACATGCTTGGCAAATACAGAACTAAGCCAACCGTCAGTGGTAGAGTCCAGGCATACAGTCTCTAGCAACAAGTCACAGGTAATAGCTTGCTTAGTAGCCTCTTTTCAGTAACCAGTGTCCGTGCAGGACTTGACAAAGCAAATACCAGCTCACAAAAGGACAGAAAACTTATTAATTCCCATTCAGAACTAATCCAAGAACATAAAGTTATGACACTCAATAAAGACTCGCTTCAAAAATACCTTCCTGCATTTTTTTTCCAAGTAGCATTTTCAAACCAGTTACGTACTTGCGTTGCACACACTGCATCTAAAAGCAACTGGTTGCCCGCCATCTCGCTATTCCAACTTGTCTGTTGGCCCAAACCAGCTGAGTGATTTATGGAAAAGGGAAGGGGAACATAATCTCATCGTCCCATACTCAACATCTGAGAGAAGCATGGAGTTAGTTACTGATCAGGCACACTGAACCGGCCTTCCTGCCCTCCTCACCTTATTGCTGCTGTTGTCTTTCTTCATGCTGGATGATCTACTCTCTCCCTCTTGAGACTGTTTTGAACTAGCCCTAGATTCCACTCGTGAGTCCTTCTCTTGCTGAGATGAATTCCTCCCATTGCCTCCCTTTCCATCCACAACAGAACTTCTGCTCACTTTACATTTGCCGCTGCCATCTCCCAGGCTTGATCGGCTGCCACCAGGTCGTGGATGACCCTCCTCTTTCGATGCAATTTTCTTCTCCACCGCTGCTTGGCCTCGGGTCTCAGGCTTCGAGGGAGCTTTCTGCTCCCCTCCTTTACACAGGGAAGGCTCATTTCTCCGTACTGGAACCCTTGACTTGGATATATCCGGAAGAGACACCACTGCCTTTAAAATCGTTTTACCAACAGAGGAAGATTCCTTGACAGATAGAGAGGAGTTTAACATAACTGCTTTGCAGGTTTCATCAGTTTTTGCTGGTCCTGTTCCTTTATTTTGATGGGCTTTGATTAAACTTCCCTCATTGTTCTCATTGACAGCATTTGCAGCATTTTCCATAGCGGTCCCAACCTTGGTCACAGATTTTTCAAGTTTCTTCTCTGTCTCTGCCCCAGTCTTGACCAAAAGCTTTTCAGGGTTCTCCTCCGCAGCTCTTCCAACTTTGGGCGCAGACTCTTGTGGTCTCACCTCTGTGTCTGCTCCAGCTATATCCAGTTTCTTCTCCGTGACCGCCCCGGTTTTAAGTACAGGTTTCTTCTCTGTTATCGGAGTTACAGACATTTTATGTTCGGTTTTCACAGCATCAGAAACAGTATTTTTTTCAGGAGCATCCAACTTGTTGTTTGTCTGTGTGACAGCAGATGACACCATCTCCACTGAAGCTGCATCAGAACCAGGGCGCACCGCTTCAGGGACGGCCCCTGTCATATCCCCTGCTGCCAGCTTCGCAGCACAGTCTGATGGCACATCTTCAGCCTTGCCCACATCAGACAATTCTTCTGGTCGTTCAATGGCAGGAGCAGACAACTCTTCATCTTTCTCTTTAATTTCCTTCTCTGGTGCAGATACAACAGCAGATTCAAACAACTCTGGTTCAGCATTATCTTTAACTGCCTCTTCTTTCTCCACACTGGAAGGCGGCAGCAGCATCTCTTCTGACTTCGCTTCAGATGATTCGGTGGCAACGGATTTGATAGATGCCACAGCAGCTTCAACTCCAGCGCCCACTTTCTCCACAGACGTTTCTGCCAGTCTTGGAGCAGACTCCCTTACTGCTCTTTCAAGATGGGACTCAGAGGGCTCTATCTGTACTGCTGACATCTCGTCTTTGACATTAGAGATGGAAATGGGTCCTTTCTTTGCCACACTAGGCTCTACTGGAGGATTAGCAGCTGCTGTTTGCACCACTCCTGATCCCTCTGGATATTTTTTCAAGCCAGAGCTAAATGCATTTAAAAAAAACAGAAGAAATCAAACTATGTTGAGAATTCTACAGTTACCAGTAACCTCTTGACGCCAATGGTGGGGGATTTCCTGATGCATTAGTGCTTAGCATTTGGAAATCTAGCCTATCAGTGTTAAAATGGTTAACAACATTGAGGCAAATAGCTGATTAGTTTTATGCTTCTGTTTAATCCACCTCAGTACCGCAAGCCTCTTACACTTCGAATTACATTACTTGTAGTCAGACCTCTCAAGGCAGCACTCGCTACAGATGTGCCCTGTGACCTCAGCGCTGGCATGAACTCCTAAAATTTAGATCCCCTGATGCAAGGCAGACTGTGAAAGCACATACACAGCGAAAATAAAGCTTCGGTCTCGCTGTATAAAGGGATTACCAGGGTTTTGTTATGTTTGAAGACAGCAGACTCTGTAGTCACCAACCTAGAGAACTCTTCCAGTAGCTAGGAGTCTGAAGTTTGTTAATTTTTTTTGGTTCAGGTTTGGGGGGAGGGAGGGGTTGCTTTGCTTTTAAACTGCATTGACCTCGCACAATAGCGGGGAACACAATACATGCACAGAGGCTCCTTTGGGCCAGGCTCTGTTTTCACTGTATAATCCCACTGTCAGCTCCCAGGATAATAAAGCCCAAGATGACAATGCAGAGGATAGCGCTTTTCAGAGAACTTGAGTTACAGTAAGTGCATTATTCTTCTCTGAAACAAAGAATCCTCCGGAGATGGTCTTGGGAGACACTGAAATTAGAGATGTCTGTGCCCCTTTTCCCACAAAGCTCGAGGAAACGAGCATCCCAACACCTCATGCATCTCTAGATGGAAAGGTGCCGAAATACCAATGCTGACAATCTCGCTAAGTGTCGAAACAAACACAAAAGCAGCAAACACACATAATTAATCAGTGGTTATGCACAATGGAGCAGCCTGCACTATGGTTTCTCAGAACCTATGTATATGAATAAAGGGTGCACATTTGTATAAACCTTCATGAAAATAAAAAAAGAGCAGAGAAGCCTGCCATTTTGGTAATACTCCCAGCATGAATGATGTCAGCGAGAAAATGGAAGGCTAGATCAAATGGAACTCAGCGCTGACGAAAATGTTAAGTCTTGAAGTGGCCAGATGCGAGGGTTAATGAGACGAAGACACAATACATGGAGTCAACAGAAAGATGAAGACAGGCAAACTCAGTTAATATCTGTGCTATGCAAGCACAACAAAACCACCAAGCTCGAAGGTTTCCTCCAGACCTGAGGGCACTGTCCTCTGCTGCTACAAAAGGCGAGAGGAGAGAGAAGAAGGGATATGAATTCTGCTTCAAAATCTTTCACACCACCAATTTAGAACTGGCATAGATGCAATACGTCATGACTATGCATCAGATGGACACTTGCAGCACGATATGAGGGCACTCCTCCCCCGGCAAAGCGGCAGGCCGGCAGCAGCATTTTGCAGCTTGGCAGGCAGCGCTCGCAGGAGCGATGGAGCGTGCGTGCTCCCTGACGTGCCCTACAAAATGCTGGGAATCTCCTCCAGAGCTCGAGCGGCCCAACTCACAGTAACCGAAGTCTTATGAAAGAAAAGCAAACTTGCTCATCTCTAAAAGGCTGCTTAGACCTGTAATCAATTTAAACTTGTTACCTGCAAATGTTTTGGGGTAAGCGTGCCTCATGAGTGGCTAAGCAGTCAGGGCTGATCTGCTTTTTATGCCACAGTACTGGTTTACTCAGTCACAACACAGAAGATACTTTGACATCGATTAAACATTATTTGTGTTCCAAAAGCAAAAACCATTTCAGTTAATTTTCTCTTCTATTTGAGCATCCTACAGGCCACTGAGATTTATGTCTGACGTGTCTGTGTAGCAAAACATTACCTGGATAAGTCAGAGCACAAAGCCTAGAAGTGCAGCTCTGAAAGCCCAGGTTTGTCACTGATGCGTAGAAAGCTTAAACAAACACAAACTCTAATGCCTTGCTAAACTGTACCCCACAGCCTCTGTTTACACATTTTTTTGTAGGGATTGTAAAAGTGTCAGTGAACGCTGGAACCGTACACTAACTGCACAGCTTACAGCGAGTAGCACACACGTCTTATCCTCCACACAATTCAAATGAGATATTAGTCTCTGAAGCCTCAGGACTTTATGCCTCCTTTTCATGCCAGCGCCCACTCTGTGCCTTCCACAAAGCCCTGGTGGTCTCCGAAACACACTGAGAGATTCACACCGGACTGGGAAGCAGCGGAAGGAGAGCACTGCAGCAGCAGTAATGCGCGGAGATAAAGATAAGTGAGCCTGATGAAGCATCAAGGTGCTTGAAGTAACACTTAAAAGACCTGTTAAGCATTGGGAAAGAAAATAGCACGTAGACCTGCAAGACAGATTTTCCTGCACAGAAGTTAGCGTAAAGGGTGAAACCAACAATACCTGCTGCTCAGTTTCTGCGTAGCACGTCCCTGCATTAGCTGCCACACACAGCCATTACTGCCCGGGTTAGCGAGGGAAAGGCTTGGAGTTCAGTTCTAGAAATGTGTCACAACGGAGACACAACCTGCCTCCTACACGTCAGCTCAGGATTAAAAGGAGCAGTAGAAGAGTCCTTGATTCTTAACCTGGCCAAGGAAAGTTTCAGCTATTTTAGCTGAGGAAAATAAATCCCAACAAAATGCATCAGCATCCTTGGAAAGAGCAGAGGCATTCACGTAAACACGTCGGTCAGCTCAGCCCCAAGGTTAGATGAACTACCTACGTGGGCTGGACAACAACCGAGATTCCAGAAGCATACCAAAAAAGTTTTCAAGATCACCTCATCACCCCAGGCAACTGAGAGGGCAGTCCCTTCTGCTCCCCAGGTTCTGCTACTCCTTCCCTCCCCAGAAACACAAGGTATTCCCGTATATAACAATATAAGAAGCAGAAAATATCTTCAATAAGAGGTAACTCAAAAGAATAACTGACCAGGTCACAAAAGCTTACGAGGAAAAGACAGCTGCCTCAGACAAGGAGAACGTGCATGGCATTATTTGTAGGGAACAACGTCAGTTTTCCCATCTGTTCACCAGCCGCAGTCGGATGCTGGGCAGCAGCTGGGATTCATGTAAGAGTCACTTGTTTTGATTAATTACCACCGCTAGCTAAAGCCCGCTGGTCTGGAATCAAAAAGGTTACCTGCATGTCCGCCTACGTGCGAGTCAGAGACAGTTCGGAAACTGAACGCTTCCAGAATTGACTAAGGCCTGAGCAGAAGTTGCATTAAATTAGGACTGCCTAACTTTACTTTTGAAAGAAACAGGTTTTGGAAATACAGTAACAGTCCATGATAGTAGAACGGCATTACTTGAAATTGAAGTTTAGGACCATTATTACACAGTTTTGGGGTTCTTTTAAACGATAAAACTTATCCAGAAATATGGATTTGAGTCACAGAAGGTGTTTTGAGTCATATTTGTTAACAAGAACTCTTATAATGGTCTATTCATTTATAAAAAAACAACATAATCAAGACTAAAACCAACAAATAGTTATTCCACAATTGGAAATTTTACTACAAGCAATGTCCGTAAAACAATTTTAAATGGAACATACCAAAACCACCATTTCCCATTTCTAGGTTCTGATGTTAATATAGCATCTAAACTTTTTTTAAATCAATTCAGGGACCTGTATCACAGCATGAAGTTAATGTTAATACGTTAAACAAGAAAGTTTCAGTTTATTTTTAGCATTTGGAAACAGAAACAATAGAGCCAGGTGCTCTGACAGAGGAAAAGGCTGTAGGATGAAATAAAGCAATCACTTCATGGTTAAACACAACAAAAAAATGTCTTACCAACATGTATTTCCAAACATACTTTCCAGGACCTGTGGTAAAATCCTGGCCATAATTAGTAAAACAATAATAACTCAACAAAGCTATACAGAAAACAGGATTTCACCCCATTTGTCCATGTTCTTTGAAAGCCCCAGATTTCAAAGAAATCGCAAACATTACAGCCCTACAGCAATACACTACACGTCCTGCGCACACAGAACACACAAATCTTGAAAGAAGTAAGAGCAGGTAACAGCTGCTGGATCTCACAGCGGGCCTTTTCATCAAGCTGAGTTAGAGAGATGGCTCAGCAATCTGCTCAATCTTAGATACGCATTCTATGAACAATATAGATTAAAAACACCCTTAAATACTTGAAAGGCATACCTTCCTTTGCTTGGTTCCTCTTTCTTCACGTCTTTTTTCACAACTTCAGCCTGAAAGGCAAAAATCAGGGTTCAGTATCTATGACTTTCAGAAGCATCAGCACAGAATTTGCATAACCCAGCTAATTAGTAACATCACGAACCCAAATTTAGGCATGTATCACCTGAAAGATCAAATGACAGCAAATTGTTCTAAAACTGTTCCCCACAGAACACGTATTTCATAAGATGACAAATAAAAGTGCACGGCAGTGTAAGAGATTTTACTGCAAGTTTGCTAGACAGAACACGTGGCATACCACCAACTGGTTTGTTCATCTCATCTTCAAAGCTGTCGTGTTTGTGAGCAGAATTAGCTTTTAGTCTGTGATATGTTTGGGGGAGAGGGATGTTAAACGCATCGTTTCCCAGACAGCACCTTCTCTCCTGTGCTGGCGAGGATGCTAACGGCTGCAGAGCTCAGGGTGAACACAGTCAGCCTGACACGTAAGCATTATACAGAAAACACTGGCACACCTTTTCTAAAGACAAATTATGTTCCAACTCAAGGGATTATCGACAGAAAACCCAAGGCCAGCTTCTATTTCTTAAAACCTGCTAATGTAGCACTCATTTCTTGTAGGATGACTACGCCTTTCTGCTTTCTGTTATGTAGAATAAACTTGCAGAATAAATGTGAAATGAAATAAAGTCTTCTGAAAAAAAAGACAACCACAAACCATGCAGGCTCTGCAGCTATCACAGTTAGTAGCGTAGGTCCAAGCAATCAAAAAAACCACCTCAGTGTTGAAATCTCTCTCTCTTTTCTGAAAGCATTCTACAAACTAATTTGAAGACTATCATTAGAAAGAACATCAGATAAATTCAGTGCACGCAGAATTCACTTTAATCTTTTATTTATGCACATAATTCCAAAGCCTTCTGTTTTCCCTTTCTTGAAACATTTATTCCAGAGATAAGCGCCAAAAGTAATTTGAACGTGTTATAATGAATTAAAAACGATTTGGTTTTTTCTTCAGACTAGCTTCTGATTCCCAGGCTTCTAGAGAAAATAGCTTACAGCAAATGGAGCTACAAGCTTAATGTTCCTATGGTACCTAGGCACATAATCCAGATTCTGGCAACGTAACCGAGAAGATGGACAAGAGGTAGCACACTCAAAATGCAGTGTGCAAAATGCTCAAAATGCAAAGAACAGCAGATGGAAAAAACTCAGTTTTCCCTCTCATCAGTGTGACCAGGCATTTTTCCCTCCACCTCAGATACAGATAAAAGTAAAGCTTAGGAGTGTGTCTCCGAAGTACAGATTTATTTTAACATCTGTGCAAAAGCTGTGACAGTCGCATTGACAAGGACGGGAATGACACCAGCTGCAGCCATGCTCTGTGATTCTGTATTCCAGTTGCACATCCTCCTTCACTGTTACAGGAGTTTCCCCGTATTTTTGTTATTTCAGCAGTATTAAATTCAGACATTATCAGCAAAATTACAGAAACAAAATTATAATGTGATTAAGCAAGCACTTACATTACTGCTGTTACTATGCCACTGGCATCAGCTACCGCTATCTGGCTGGCCAACCTCCCTAAATCAGACAAGCACTCTGTATCACCCAAAGCGTGCAGCTGGAAAGAAATATTATTTTGAAAACAGAGTGTGAATGCCATTCTTTGTTGGCATTGAACTCCGCTCTGATGAAACATTTGTAGTGACAAAGGCACGTTATTCTGTTGCTACAGAAGACATAGGCAACAGCTATAAAAAGCAGGTTTGAATCACAAAGTGTTCCCACAATGCATCCTTGACAGACATTCCTTAGCACGAGCACTTTAATGAATGATATTTTGCTTATTTTTCAGTGCTAAGGGACCTTATTACTTACATTTTCTAGACTTGAGAAAAAGCTCATAAGCCTGAAGATTTGGTTATTTTCTTCAGCTACAAAGTTAGTCTAATAAAAGATATTACTCTTAAAGGCAGCTGACATCAAACACAATTATAATTTATGTTCTTTAAAATGATCTGAAGTTCACTATATGAACTGAAACACAAAATAAAGTGCCTCAGAAGAGGAACATATGTTGTCCTCTACAAAGAGAGTCAGCAATGGGGAGAATCATCCCTGCAATGAGGAAGAGGAGACAGAAAAATTCTTGGAACATCTAATCCAGGCTCTTGCATCTAGCAGAAGAGAAAAGAGCACTATGCACCCGCACTCACCAGATTTTAGCTATCGGTGCTTCACCTGCAGCGGGTCCCCACCCTGCACCAGAGGTCCCAAGGGACGCACAGCAGCTCACCTTCCCCCCCCCCTGCCGTACCGATGGTACCACACCACCACACGCATCTGGCGGAGACGCAGCATTCATAAGGAAAGTTAAATCCATTCTCTGAATCAAACGTGTAATTAAAAAGCACTTTCGGTGTTCTTATATCAACTCTAGGCTACAGTATAAACCTTAATGGAGGAGGGTCGCTCCTCATGAACAAACTATGCCCCTTCAGCCACGGACGAAGGCCCAGAACGACAGGGTGGGAAGAGCTGGGAAGGCAGGCACTGAATCTCTGCAGACATTTCGAGTGGTCACACTTGCAGAAAGGTAAAACACTTAACTGATTTTACACAAGCTAGGCCCCCACTTGCACAGTAACTGCTGATTTACTTGGAAAGGGGCACGATGAATCCGCTTGAAAAACACGTGTGCCCAAATCACTTCTGGTTGTGTACCGCCATGTGTCTGAACCATCACAGATGCAAGTCGACAACTACTGCAGGAGACCCCCACCAAAAACGTACACCTAAAATCTCTACGGACACAGTACGTCTTTAAAAACGTGAATCCTAAACACCGTACAGCTACCCTGCAGGTTTCATAAATAAGGACGCTTTTCCATGAAGCAGAAGCAATTGACAACACAATAGAGAAGGAACTATGACACAAGCCAATGATCAGTACACAACCTATTGTTTAAAAAACAGTTGAAATTCGTTGTGATGCTCAGCACAAATAATACTGGCAGCTTTGTCAGCACGGTAAGTAGAAGTACACATCTGCATGAGTTTTTTTCCTCCCTGTGGAAGTAGTGGACTGATGCACTTGTTCTCATTAGGCACCTGACGTTAAACTTTCCCCGGTGATGAATAAAAGTGAGGGGGGGGACAGGACTAGGATGCCCTGTGCCTCCAGACACATCCTCGTTTGAATGGTATCCCAAAGTCATGCCACTGAAAAGGAACAGCAACACACAGGGAATGAGAGGCTCCAGGAATGGAATTTACATGGACAATCGCTTAAAAAAAGACAGACAGACACAAAAAAAACCCAACAAAACAAAAATCCCCATACGCATTTTGGTCACACCAACATCTGGATTTACGTTCTCCACTTGGGAAGCCAGAACACTATTAGCACATGGCTAATGTTTGCATTTCTTCCTTAATGCTCTTTACCCATCCAACGCAACATGCGCTAAGCTCCTTCCTCTCTGGTGTTCAGCTGCTGCAGTTTGCTGTTCCTTCAGCAAATCACCAGAAGTAAACCTGCTCAATACTGCAAGTAATTCCATTTGTGAGAGAGAAGATGGAAGCAGCTGTGGGCACACAGACCAACACTGACATAGCAACTGAGTCTGGAATCAAGAGGGCTAAAGCAGATAAGCTGCTAAAGACGAATCAAACTAGATCAGGAAAAAACTCTACGAAGTTCAATTATCAGTCCTTTTCTAACCAGTACTAAAGAGTTGCTCTCCTCCTTTCTTCCTTTTTCTCTTCATCTTTCACTAAGAAATACTTTCACCGGTGGAGATGAAAGATTCTATGTAAGTTTCCAAAAGAGAGAGATATAGAAGACAGACAAACAGCAACACACACTTTCACACCTATGCCACATCCCAGAACGCAGACCCAGTTCCCAGCTGTTGCACAGTTTTCACTCTCATCCATGACGACAGCAAACCGTGAAGGAAATACTGACGTCGTCACCATTAGCTGCTCTTCACGGAAAGGCGGTTCTACTCCACAAAAATAATCTATTCTTGAAAAGAAGAAATCTTACCTCAGCGGACTCTCCATTGGGTGACAATGTACAGGTCAATGTATGCTCACCCATGTTATACGGATATTGCTTCAGGAAGCTGTACATTGATCTGGCTGACTTGGGACTATCCAGCTGCAGAATCGCCTGAAAGAAAAAAAGCACAAGCTTCAAATAACCGTTACTTCGTTCTGCAATACAGAAGTAAGACAAGTTTAATAAATTAAGTTGGTATAGCAGGGGATATCTAGTATTCCCGAAGGGCTTCGACATCTTCATTTTAAATTAGCTAACAGCACCGTTCTTTTAGTAAATCCTATGTTCTCGCATATGGAGAACAGCAGGCTCTCCTCTCTGAGAGGCTGAAGGAAGAAATCTCTCCCGTTTGGAATTATCTTTAGAACTAAATAACGAACTACATTACAAAACAGTGGAGCCTGGAGCTTCCCTACCCACGTGTCCAACGTTCCGGCTACAGAAAAATACTATCTTTTTCTTAAAAGCATCTTCACCTGTTCTATGGTTTATTAGCAGCTGGACACTTAAAATAGCTCATAATAAGGGGAGCACAGCTGCATTTTAACCATTAAAATATACACGTACACACACTGACGTAAATCCAGTTCATAAATTAGAAATCCAATGTTAAGTGCAAAACCAGCAACATTAAAAATTAAAATATCAAAATTTAAAAAATTGAAAATCAAGTCACTACATTTTAAAGTGTCCCAAAACAAAAGGTAGTTTCAGCAATTCTGACATTTTCACTTCTCATATCGAAATAATTTTTTTCCCCGAGTTCCTACAAAATGGGAACTTATTTTCCCCCCACTTACACCTCTAATGTCAAAGGTTAATAATTTTTCCAGCCATTTGGGAAGCTCTACTTTCAGAGCTTATCAAACTGTTCTTGCATTGTTCAGGCTAGGTAACAGCCAAAAGTTTGGGTTGGTTGTTTTTTTTTTTTCCTTCCCCACTGTCCCCAACAAATAATATGAACTATTTTCTTGTTCATGATGAGTAGGAGAGAGTCAGAAACTTTGATCTCTCATTAGCAGAACGTTCTTGGTACTGGGAGATGAAAAAACTACTTTTTTTAATTTTTCTTTCCCCTAACGTGGTACTTTGCACCACAGAAAAAAAAATATTTACCTTGTTTTTATTCTTCAGTACAACATAATGATCTACTTTTCCAAATCGAAGTCCCACACAAACTACTTCGAGTTCTCTGTACCCATCATCTGGCAAGTTCCCAAGATGCACAAACTGATCATGTATAGTTTCAGTATTTACCTAAAGAAAAGCGATGACAAGACTTGCTTTAACTTGGTAACACACTTTATTAGCAACTACTGAACTAGGTTAGAAAAGCCCCACGGAAGGCTTCTGTGTCACTCAGATCTTACCAAAAAATAGCATTCACACACATCCAACGTTCACGTTTTCAGATTCACACCACATTTTCCAGTTTTCTATGCAGTACATCAGCAGAACCAGCTATGCTTCCCAGTAAAGAATAACAAACTGAGAAGGATCAAGTTGAGTGTTTTAATTTTTTTTTCTAACTAGTAAAACTCTCTTTAAGAACACTGTAAAATATAGCTGAAGTTTAAATAAAATGTGGTATTGTGAAAAGCAGACACTATCTAGTCAGATTATAAATTGGTCAAGACATAGAAACCTATCCGAAAGACTCCAATTTGGTTTACTTAATCAGTTTATAATAACAAAGATCCTTGGTCAAATATCATTTCCCATGTCCCTCAATTTTCAAACAGAGTTATCACCACCACCACGGGGACAGGCTATCAAGGAGACCAGTAAGTCTCTTCTGACCAGGAAGGATTCTGGTGCAGAACGTTCGAGTGGGCTGACAGCAAACGGAAAGCCACCGTCAGCCACGTAGCGCCAGCAGAGCCACAGACTGAACCCTGACACCAAATATTTTGTGCAGTATCAAAGCGAAGGGCCCTGGGCCACAAAGTCCAAAGGTACTAGTAGACTTCTGAAATCTTAAACAAGTCTTATCTTTAAATACTTGAAAGCTGTGTGTCTTTTAGAAACACAACACTCACTCCCAACAAGGAAGAGATTTCCCCCCCACGCTCCTCTCCAGGTCTGGTATGTTTTTCTTCCATTATTCATGACTTTACCAGGAGCAGAAAATAAATATTCCATCACAAGCAGATCAGAAGCGTAAGTAGGATATGGCAGCAGGGGTATTGGCAGTAAGTACTCAGATGCGTCTGTTAGTGCCAAACACTGATCATAAGGAGGAAGCAGATATCCCCCAGACACATTTGTAACTGAAAATTCAAGCCTCTTGGGGTTTCTTGGAAAGCGATTTATTGTTGGCAAGGCTCTTTGCAATATGCTTTTTAAACAAATACAATTACCTTCTGACACTGCTGTTCTTAAAGTCACTCTGGCAAAGTTCTTGTGCCAACTGTTTAAGCCCAGAGACGCATTCAGACCCAATGACTGACCCTCTATCAAGAATATCCTGAAAATGGTTTTCACAGAAGCAAGACATAAAAGCTATCATTTCATTAACCTCTGCCTACCTACAACTGCATAAAAATCCTTTGTACGTCAACTGCCAGCTTGCGCTGCGTGCAGAGAAGGAACGGGAGGGATAACGAGGGAGACGCACTACACTGAACAAAGCACAGAGGTAGTTTTGGTAGTTAAACCAAAACCTCTGTCTATAAAACACAGGGGGGAAACGGGTGGCGTTACATACAGGCAAACACTGCGTATTCTCCAAGCCATAGTGGTCCGCAGCTTGTTGTTAGAACATGAAAAACACGTAACAGAAGGAGAGGGTCTCAGAGGACTCCTATTAAATGTTTAATTCCTTGCACTTCACGCATCGTGGAGCTAAACTGAGTGAACATTTACTCATTCTATTCCCTGCTCATTCGCCCATGAAAACATATATAAACATTTAATTCAAGAGAAAGCTTAGAACAACAATTCAATTAGCTAGTATTTCAGCATGAAGGATACTAATTCCAATTTAAAGTAACGTATTTTGATAGCACATGGAGGAAAAGTTAGATTGCTAGCAACTTACCTTAGGGTCAGAATCTTTAATTATAGCAGTAAATATTGCTTCCTTTAAAAAAGAAAACAAAAGACATTGTAAGATTTGAACTGTAGAATATAGCTTCACTAGCAGCAGCTAACTGGCAGTCACTGACTCCCAACAACTTTTTAGTTTCTGCTTTATTAATAAAAATCAACAGCATCAGCACTTCTGACATCTGCGTTATTCTCTTATCAGAAGACCACGACTCAAAAAGACATTCAACAGAATCTGTCCTCAATAGGACACACCATCAGAACATATAAAACAGGCAGCGTATAAAAGTCAGCTTAAATACGAGATCCTGCTCTGAACTGAAATGTTATCACGTCTCCTAGAATTTCAATATATTTTATTACTTACTTCATCTTTTATAGTCTTATACTGATGCACCATGTTGATGCAGAGCTGATTTCCATCCAGTGACATTGGAAAGCAGGTGTAAAATTTAACCATGGAATCTGCAGATTTTCTATTTATTTCGAGATATGCCTTTTAAAACAAAGAAAACAAACTTTTTAAAAATTGTAATTTATCAAAAGCATCTCACATCACTGCTTGCCACACACCATTATCACATTTGCATTTGTTAAAAACACATTTGCTGCTTCTGTAGGTAGAAACGCTACCAAACACCAATTAGAATACCTTTTTATGAGATGATAAAATTAGCACATCCCTCAGTCCTCCAAATGGCTTTGCTAGGTTGGAAACTTCCTCAACAGAATATCCTTTCTCAGGCAAGTTTGAAATAAGAACCACACATATATCATCAAGTTCCTGTAAACAAATGACAGTAAGTATTACTGACATTTCTTCAGCTCTAAATCAAAACTGCAATATTGCTGAAGGGGGCATTCATTTTTACTATGTAAAACCACCGTTAAACTGAATGAAGCACTCGCTTCAAAGCATGCTGTAATACTTGCAATTACATCAAAACCAAAGATCATTTAAGCCTTTTTAGGATTTAGTAGCAAAGCATATTAAACAATTTTTTAACCCTTTTCTCTAATTATGTCATGTAATCACCTTAATTACTGCTTAACTGTGGATGTATCTACATCTAAGCTAATTCTGCACAAACCTTAGGTTGTCTCATGCTACCTCATCAAAAATTCAAAGCAAATCAAAACCCCCTATAATTATGCCACTACTTTATACCCATGACATGCCCACATGTCAAATGTTGCAGGACTGTATGTGCAAATACAGCATCTAAAGGGAAGAAACCCACAGCAGGGCAATATAGATGATCAGAGCGTAAAGCAGCTTTGGTGTAACTAACAAACTCCAAGGAAAAAAATAAAAAGCCAAAGAGTAAAATGGTAGATGTCTAACAAATCACAAACAGCAAGGAGAAACTAAATTATTCACTATTTCCTCACGAGAAATTAACAGGCAGGGGATTTCAGTCGGAGGTTTTCAGGCAGCACACCAACACTTGGAAATGGCACCAAACGTGTACTTACAACTTCCACAGATTCAAGCACCTTTAGACTGACCTTGCCAGCTGCTTCCATTGATTCTTCACTCTTGGTAGTCGCTATCGTAGCTTCTGAAAAAAAAAAGGACGGAGGGGTAGTTTAGTAGTTCAGCAGATTTCTTTAAATACTGGAGAGCTTTAAGATCTTCTTGCATTACATTTTATCACCACTGCCATTGTGAAAAATGAAATATTCCTTCACTGAACTTACAGCGACAGATGACATTGGTGAGACACACAGTGTTACGTAAATGCTCCCAGAAAGAACAGTTTTAAGTAGGGATAAAAAAATTAATTAAAATCCCTTCATTAGCACGCACACGCTTTGCTCCACATGCTGTCACAACCACAAGACTTTCCTGGGGGCACAGGCGGACTAGGTAGGTGCCCACCATGTGCCCACACGATCTTTTTCCTTCTTGCTCCTGGGACAAGTCCACAGTGATATGTGAGAGGCTCAGAAAAACACAAACAGCAGGAAACAGGAAAACAGCAATCATACAGGACAGGCAAGCGCAGGTAAAGGAGAATCACTTCTACTGTAAAATGTTTGTATCTACCTCTAATAGGTTCAGCAACTACTGCCTTATCTCCACTATCACATGCGTAGTAACTGAGAATTAATATATACGTTTAAAGTGAAGTCTGCTATTAATCAATTATAAAATATGGGCGAAATAGCATCTATTGAACCAGCTCTAGCAGGCAACGTAAAGCAATGAGATTAAGAGAATTAGCAGTGGAGCTGTAAACAGAACATACAGAAAGCCTGAATCCTTTGCTCTAATGAGCTGTATATAGAAGTCCCCATGTTGCACTGAAAAGGTCTAGGTAAAAATATTACGTCCGCTGAAAGATGTAAATCTTGGGGAGTTTTAGCCACTTCAGTCATCACGATGAGCTGTTGTTTTATGTTTCAGTCAGTGAACCTATTCTAACAGATTTTCTTTCTGATATCCTGTGTCATTTTAATTTCCTGGCCTCAAAAGCATTCTCATTTAGCTCACAATAGCAGAGAGGTTTAGGACAGAAACGAGAAAAACCCTGTCAGTTTGCAATTTACCTTGATCAATTAAAGCTTCATTAAACTCATCCAAGTCCAGTGCCGCCACCTGAGGCATCTGCGCAAGTTTCTCTAAAAAATAAATGAATTCAAGACGACATCACAATGTTGAACTTCACATAACTTACAACTAGCAAAGCAACTTAAAAATGGCATTATCGTAGCAGAATTACCTAGTGCAGGTGCAGGATTAGTCACTCCTCTGGACTGAGTCTCTACTGTCTTCACAGGCTCCGTAACTCTGTCCCCTTCTGCAGTGTTCTTTGAGTCTGACAGCTCAGTTTCCCCAACTTCCATTTGGGCTTCTGTTGAGATCTGAAGGTCTTCATCTATAGATTTTGCTGGTAGGTAACAGCAGAAAAAAGCATTCTTCATTTCAATATATTAAACTAATTGATTTGCAAAAGAAGAATGAACGACACTAAGTTTTTCTGCCAGATATTCAGAGGCCTCCTATCACATAAATTCCTGCTCTTCGTAACAAATGGGCAGAAAACGTACGTACAGGAAAAGCTTTGCAAAACAAGCGTATGCCTGCGGTTATGTGAAAGGGTCTGCTTCCCCAAACTCATCTCCTTTCCCTGGTTCTTTGCTATTCCGGATCTACAAACAGTAGCAATTATCACTGCATTAGCCGAGTCACAAGGAGCAAGAAGGGCGCTTGCCTATCTAACAGTCTACTGCATTGGCAAGCCCAGTAAAAGGTGTGAAAAGCTCGGACTCACTACCTTAAATATCTGTTCTGGAAGGGGGGGGCGCGGGTAGGGCAATGGAAAAGCACCTGTTTTCCAAGTAAAAAGTAAAAGTTCTCATTTGTCCTACCCGCAGTATTTGAAGTTTTCTTGATTTTACGATCTGTCACTGTCGATTTCTTAGACTTTTCTTTTTTACCTACGTAAAATATCCAAAACCAAGTCAGTAGAAATGCTTATTTCTTAAGTCTTACATTTGTGAAGTAAGGGTATAAAAATACATACAAAAATAGTCTAATCTGCAAAAATTCAACTGATGTGACCAAAAAAAACCCAAAGCCTAAAACACAAGTTAATTCCAACAAACTACTGAATGAAAGCCATGAAGTGGAGTATCCTATGTGAATTTGTTGAGGATTCTGGTGACAAAACCTTGCTCCTGCAATAAAGTTTGTGTCCTCTTTCTCTTAAATGACTGTAAACAATTCACGGTTTCCACCTGCAAGACAGCTCTGAAACGCACTGTTACATGAATCTTAATTCCGAGCTGGAAAGTGGATTCAGAAGCGACCATGCTGACGAATGAATCAAGACCAATGCGTCTTTAAAAGGCACAATTTCCCATCGAAGTTCTCCTCTAACAGTACGACATACAAGTTTTTCTGCCAGACCAAGTAATAATAATAATAACTGAAATAATTTTCTTCAATAGAAGACCAGGGCAGAAATTCAAAAGCATTTGGAACGTACAAGGAACGTAAGACACTGGGAAGCACTAGCACTAACTGTGAAAGACAACGTTTAATACATTATACTTTAGGCTTAAAGTCAACTTGAAGAATTACACTTAATGGAGCCCAAAGTGCCACACTTACCTTCAACAGATGGGGCAAACATGAAAAATTACAGACTATAAGCACAGGTCAAGGTGGGGTTTTTTTATTGCTACTTGAGGGTTGGTTTCTGTGGGGTTTTAAAGAAAAAAAAAGATAGGGTGGCATGAAAAGGAAGACATTTGAAAGTATGAACTAGACGTTTTCCTGTAGCTCTCTGAACCTGCTTTCAGTCGCTATTATGAAAAGCGCTCACGTAAAAACAAAGAAATGGGAACAAAGAGGGAAGGCAACAACAGAGGTATCCTCAGATAAAAGGTAACCAAAACCTCACCTGTAATGGATTTAGCTGTCTTAGTGGTGGTGTTCTGATCTTTTCTATTATGAGAAAAAAATAAAGAAAAACCAGTTTTAAAAAGACAATGAATATTAAAACAGCTAAAAAAAGCTCAAAAACAGTAAAACACAAGAAACCAAACAGATATGAACCCATTTGGTTTTCAGTCGTTATAACTAACACTAACACATATAATGGCAACACTTACTTTGTACTTGGTGCAACTTTTTTAATATTCTGAGCCCGTTTTTTTATATTCATTTTGGCCTGGAATGGACAGAAAGACAAACTTCTACTGCATCATTTATACTTTATTTATAAATGTATATATACACATAAAAAATAATAATAATTATTATTAATAGCAATTAAGTATATATATTAATATAGGTTGTATCTTTCACTGTTTGTTAAACTGATACTACTCACAAATATCAAATTTCACCAAGAAAAATGGAAAACTGGAATTAGGAACTGCATTTCCGTGTTTATGTTAGACTGTTTATGAAAAGGAAGTTAAAAATATATTAAAACTACTAAATCTATTTTTCTGGAGAACATCAAGTTTTGGATGTTCTCCAGAAATACCAAGCTACACACAAAGTATCACGCTGTTCACCGCCAGGCTGCTTACCTGGCCAGGAGATGCTTTTGGCTTTTCTGCTACGCTTATTTTCACCCGTTTCCCATTTACCAGCACTGGCACAGTTTCACTGTATTTCACAGCTGCTATCACGGCTTCTTTGTAGTTCATTTCCAAGAAGGCCTAAAATAAACGGCCCTTTCAGTCTTGATTTGTATTACAGACACAAGATACAAATCACCGCAATTTTTCCTTAGCAAATCTGCTCACGACAGAACTGTACGTACTCCTCTCTCTAAGTTCACGTGGAGTTGGATGATAAAGGCTGGATTTCAGTATTACACAAAAAGCATCCTACTTCCTCTAACATTTAAGACTCAGGTAGCAAGCAAGACTGAATTTATAAAGTTCAGATTCCCAGCTATTCCGAGATCTTTAATGACAAACTGTTCAGGAAGCCTTACCCTGTGTTCAGCTGAGGATCCAAATATTACCCTTTTTCACTGCTTGACTATTTCTTTTGCGTTCTGACACAAGAACTCTCTACAGGAAAACTCACCTCGTTTCTAGAGCGAAGTACAAGGAGATCACTAACTTTGCCAAAGGGCTGAACAATTTTTTTAATATCTTGGTCTGAAAAGCCATCATCTGGTAAATCAGATATTTGAAGGACTGTCCCACAACTCAGCAATTCCTCTCTCAACAGCTACAAATTGAAAACAAAACAAAATAAACATTTTTCCAAGTCCAGTAAAAGGAAGAAAAAAGAATCTGTAATAAAAATTACTTCCAAGTAGACAGACTGCTTAGTTCACGGTGGTATTTTGAGGTTTTTTGCTTTTTAACACAAAGACAGAGCCACAATTTTGTTGTTCTACCACTCTGCCTCAATCTTCAGTTATTAGAAGACATGGCACAGGATTACCAAGTAACACAACACCACCTTTTTGTTTTTATCAAGTACTATAGATCTAGATAATTCCAGTTGTCTGGTCTATATGGGTAAGGAGCTGCACAATTCCACTACTTTCCTTTCAATACTATTTATTAGCTTTCAACAGCACCAGGCAGTGTTCTCTTTGCTTATCGTTCAGAGGCTAGAAACTAGCAAGGACGATTGCATCTACCACAACTACCCGACAGTAACCTAACACAAATCTGGTTTATAGGCAGTGTTTCTATGAGATCCCAGTAGTCAGCACGATGGACTAAGACAACACTGGCTTAAGATCCTTCTTATAACAAGAGCGGTAAATTTCTCTGCCTCGTCTTTTCTGCTTGACAGGACAAAATGAACACTTTCTGCCTGATACCCATTACTTTCATTTCCACAGTAAGCTCCTCCGAACAGAGCTCATCACTCACACTTCATGCAAAACAATTGCCCGGTAGAACAAGGACCCAAATTTAACGGGCATTTCTTTCTGCTCTTGGGAAGCACGAGGGAGGTTTTGCTTCACCTCTGTTAAAAAAATCCTTGCTGTGTAAATTACCACGTTTACTTGCAGCCAGCAAATCTTTGCATGAAGATGGCAGTATCTATGGCACAGAATCAGCAAACAGAATGGTTCTTTCCACAAGTGATCCCCCTGAAATGAGACCCCAATCACATTCTTAAAATCACAGAGAAAAACATTAATAAACTCACCCTATTATAAGGAGTAGGACGAGGTCCACTGCTTCCTGCAGCTAAGCCTTCCTCATCCTCTTCCATTTCTTTGCCTTGGGGTAAATCATCAGTTTCAGGAGATGAAGAACTTGACCCAGGCAAAGAAGGCACATCTTTCTTCGAAGTCTTTGGAGAAACACTTGTTTTCAGTGGCTTCTTTGTATTTCCAGGCACCTTCCCTAAGGGTCCATGAGAGGGTGGTGATTTTCCCGATCCCAAAGATCCTTGCCCAGCTGCTTGAAGTGACTTATGTTTATTGAACTCTGCTACAAAGCCAGGTCCCAAACTTCTCATTACTGCCTCCAGAGCTGCCTTTCTGTCTGTGAGCGGAAGGGAAAAAAACTGGGGTTTGTTTGTTAGTTTTTAGAAGAAAGCTTACATATATTGCTGTTAGATTTTCTACAGTTTCAGTTTCACCACCCACTCCTGATTCAATCCTGAGACTCGCTGAAGTTAGAGAATCTTAAATCACACTCCAGCAGAGATGGCCTATAAATAATAATAAACCTCTGTACTGTTTTCACCGTGCCTTGTGTAACTTGACGGTTTTAGTTAGACTGACAATGTGACACTGACAATGATATCTACAAAAATCCTAATGGCTGGAGCAAAAGAATGATGGTTTAATCTTGTATGTCAGGGAATGTAAAAAAAGAAAGTAAGTTTTCAAGACTTTGATCTTCCTCTCTCATACTGATGCAGAGCAGTACTTACTATCTTGATGCCTTCTGCTAAATTCTGTATCCTTCTCTGTCTCGCTCTTTCTGCTACAGACTGATGTTTTGTTTTAGATTATTCTTTAACGATCTGATACAACATTAATTTCCCGTATGCTTTCTTTCTGTGGGAAATTTACATTTTGGTTATTAATTGCCTCTTCCCCTCATACTTCTACACTAAAATGGCTTGCGTTTTACCCTTAAGAAGATCTCTGAAACTGCCTGTCCCTTCACAACTTTTCACCTAGACTTCTTTTCCACAAGAGCTCAGTACCTCTTGATTTTCTGAAAGCATACAAACAACATAGCCACAGTATACAAAGAAAAAAAAACAACCTTTTAAAATTCCTCTATTTTTTTCTCTTCAGAATTTAAGAAACAAAAACTCCAAACAAACTGGTATTTCAGCCAGAGACTGAGCTCAAAATGAACTACATGGAACTGACCCGAGTTCACATAAAATTTCCTAGAACTGCAAACTGAACGGAGAGTCACAAAATGGTGCAACGCACTTCTGTTACAGAGGATGTTCCACTGAAAGCCTTTCACACACCACGCTCTTACCGCAACAAAATTGTTTCAGAACACACTGCTCTCCTTGTAAATTGCAGCTCCATTCAATGCAGTTTCTGAGCATCGCATTTTATTTCTCCTCATCTATACTGCCTTGGCAGAACTACCTTTTTTGATGCTGAAGGAAGAACCACCTTCAGTTGTTTTCAATTCTTGACTATCCTTACTGGTTTAAAAACTGAGGACACTTGGAACAGACACTTGTTCAGCAGTGGCTTGATACGATTAACCAATTCCTGACGCCAGGTAAGGAAGACTTCAGACCTTTTAGAATGCCCGTTTTCTTCTATGCATACTTCTCACAAAGCAACAGCAAAAGGAAAAGTTGTTTTTAAAAACAGAATTTTGCTATGAAAAATGCCTAGGTGACAAGTGGACAGATAAACCTCTTGAAATCAACTCAGTTTTCCTGAAATTAAAGGAAGCTTCAATTTGGCGGTGCGTATCCACCCTTTACCTTGAGATCGGGTTGACCTCCTTGATGACCAGTCATTACTGGAAGATCTCTGAGGTCGCGGGCTAGTTCTCAGAGGATTTCTCGATCGCTGCGGTGACCTTGACCTGTGTCTGGGGCTACGTCGTCGCATCTGCCGCGGGCTTCGACTTCTTGGCCTTGTTGGCCTGAAGCGGCCAGGGCTCCTGGATCTCGATCGTGATCGGCGAAGAACATAGCCAGAGCCTGCAACCCTCGAACGTCTAGGACTGGGACTGGCAGAGTTGGAACGACGCTTCGGGGTCTGGTTTTCTTTTCTGTCACCAGCATTTCTAGCAGAATAAAGGCATATAATGAGTTTTGACAAGGCAGAAAATAATCATCAACCTGAGTCTGCTGAAACAGACTTTCCGCAAAAAAAGAACCAAAACTGACAAAGTTTAGAATCTAATTTGTTAACAAACACACTTTACATACTGGTAACACGTCTGCTGTATGAATTTAGGATAGGGAGACAGAACTGAAAAGAAGCAAGCAGGAGAGAGCCACCTGCATGGAACAAGAGAAAGCTGCAAAGAAAGCTCTGAAGTTACAAGCTGCAGTGCTACGAAAAAATAATAGGAAGGGGAAAAGGATACATGAAAGAGTAATGAATTAAGTGCTTTCCTTGCTTCTTCCAAATTTAGTTTGGAAGTAAGCAACCTTGAGACATTACGTCCAAAAGATTGACTGAAACCAAAAGAGAGATTTGAGAAGACTACATAAATATACATCCCCTGCATACTTATGCTACCTAGACATGTCGAATTGATGAAGAACACGGAAAGAAGTAATGGCGAAGAGATCCAGGAGAGAAATAGTCCCTCTTACAGACACGGAAAGCAGTCAGGCATAGGAAAACCCTGACAGGACAGATCACAGGAGTAAAAGGGAAACCCTGGAAAATGCATAGGGTATATGCTGAAATATCCACAACATTTTTTACAAGCTTGGCAGGCCAGTGTGTTACAGCCAAGCACATGTCCAATTTGTCAGCCCATACGGAATTCTTTGATGCCAAAGATACACTGCACCAGCACTCAAAACAGCGTAGAGCAGACACAGCACCTTTGAGATCTGAAACTAGAAGAAGCCACTGATGTAGCACGTCCTTCGGCTTAACACAGAAAGCAGCACCTCACCAGTAATTATAGTAGCAAAACTAACAGAAACAGGGAAGTAACTGACATTGCATTTACATCCACTACGACTAGCCTTACTGGTAAGACTGTATGCTGGATAACTAACACACACAAGTCTCTTAACACAACATAGAAGTTCACATTTCAACTGAAAAGTGTCCAAGTTTTTTAAAGGTAATCTAGAGCATCGGTGCTTAATGAATCACCACGTCGAGCCCTGTTATTACTGTCTAAGACTCTGAATAGACAAAGTTCCTTTGAGATGAAATAGGTTAAGGAGAGAGGACTGACAACTGGCAGACAGGAGAAGGGGATGACAAGCAACTGAGGCAGCTGCTGCCCAACCTTTTTGGCTGGCAGCTAGATGAGGAAAGCTGAAGCACTCTCAGGTCTCCTAAGTGTTCCTCCAACCCACCCCATGTAGCAACATCTCACAGCGTTACTTAATTAGCAAGTTTCAAACACCATTAAAAATCCATATAAATCCCATTATTCCCCTGCCCAATAAAAACGTTTGAATGTATTAACAAACCAGTGCAATTTAGAAAAAGCAAACACCGCGAAGTGGTTTACCAGAGTGGTAACAGTGCACAGCAAGCTCATCGACCTTGCCCCGAGACTGCACCCAGCAGCTCTGGACATCTGTGATCACCAAGAGGGTACAGCTGTATTCTAACTCGCCCAGCTGGAGACATGCTGTCATCAGGAAGGATTTAAGAAAGCACCACCCTAAAAGACAACTCTTGCCCCACCTGCAAGCACAGAAGATCCCTCACTCAAAAAGTGCTATTAAACACTTCTCCAGTTCATGAAGTTCCTCCAACTAAGAGCAGTTTCCTTTGCCTGGGTTGTATGTAACATCAGCAGCACTCGACAGCAGGTTCAGGTTTTAAAATGTAATTATTCTCTCCATGAAAGTTTCAAAAGTTTATCTCTCTCTCTAAAGTTTTATTTCTCCTTCTTTATTAAGATGGAGAGACCTCAGATGCACTTTGCAAATTAACCTGACCTACATATCCAGCTTTTTAACTTTTTTTTTTAAACCAAATAGTTAGCTTCTCAGGAAGTATGTCAAACTAATTAACAGAAAGTCACAGGAAAATCTAGCAGAAATTAAAGTCCTATCATTGCTATTTGTATGCAAGTTGAAATATGTACAAATGTTGAACCAGTAAAATAATCCAATCCTGCTGAGATTCAAGTAGAATTAATCCACAGGGTGTGTTTTTTAAAAAAATTAATACTAAACAGCATAATTTTTAAGGACAGAAGAGATGAGTTCATGAATTCCAGTGTTTTTTCAAGTTGTGATCACATAGCTCCCCAAGGGATCTACAGACTGAAATAAGCGCTAACGCTAGCACGCCTATTGTCAAACAGGTTTCAAGCTGCAAACAGAGAGTGGCTTAACTGGAAGAAAGATTAAGTCTGAAAGTCAGAAATCACTGGCGCAGTTTAATCAGCGATCTAACACTGGTCAGTCTCGCTCGGTTACCGTTACGTCACATCCAGTAACTTGCGACTAACCGAAGCACGGTTAGAAGGAAGGTTCAAGGGGAGACTGCTGACAATACCAGCATTCAGACCTTTCTACAGACTTCACTCTCATCCTTGTGAAAGAATTTTAGATACTATGCCACTCATGTTATTAAACAAACTTAGGACAAGACCCACAAAAACACCCCACACAATTTTACAATGACAATTTGACACCACTAGTACAGCCAAAACAGGAATTAATTGCATTAATTACGTTTATAATAGCAACAAATTAAAAACAACCTGTAATCAGAAAGCAGTTACCTCTTTGAAGAATGAGACTCAGGGTTCCAATCGGGGTATCTGTTAAATGTTAAAAATACAACTGTCAGTGAAAAAGCTAAATTTGCCATCTGAACACAGTTTTTGCTTACATGCAGTAGCTTTTACAGATAACTGTTCCCGTTCAGGACTCCAGAAGCACCAAGCGTCAGTTCACCTTTTACCCTAATGGTCTAAAGCCAATTTAGAATAGCGCTCAGATACCGACAATCCTCACTAAGGAAATCTGACAAGTACATTTTCACAGACTACGTGCATGCACAGAAAACACATTTTACACTAAGTGAACTTTTTAAACAGATTCCTTACTGTTGACGTAACTGGCGGCAGCTTTCAATGTGAGAAGGAGTGTTCTGATGCAGAATCCAGTCCTAATTGGAGAAAAGACATCCAGACATTCAATTAGTGTGTAAAATGTTAGCATTTGACCACAATTTCTAGCTACATGTTGTCATATTTTACCTTCCATCAAATTTTACCTAACAAATGATCTTACGTCAAGGTCAAATTTCTCACTTCAGATTATTACTCTTTATGCAAAAGATGAAAACACTTAATGATTATCGAAGGCTCTTAAAGAACACAAAGGAATCTAAGTGGAAGTTGAACAAAATGCATCGTATTAAATGAATCTGTTACTTCCAGCAACACGCTGGGTTGTGGACGCCACACTTGTAATGCAAAAGGTTGATCCAATAGCTGGCTGTATTAAAAGAAAGAAAACTATTAGCAGTCTTCACAGCTTGTCAGAGTGATGAACACATACACAGCAAATTAAGCTGAATAGATCGGAGAACCTGACACAACATGGTATCTTTACGTCAAATATCATTTCTACAGAGGCACCACTTTTCACGCCTTAAACTCAAGAACATTCACTCCTAATAATGCTACAACTAAAGGTCAGTCAGAAAGTCCGATGAAACTTCACACACACTGATTTTTTTTTTAATATTAAAAAAAACCTTAACAAAAGTTTTACTTGGCAGTAACTGATGGGTTAAGCATGAAACAAATCCAGAAGTACAATGCAAGCCCTCAATCTTGAAAAATACTTAAGCACAGGTTTAACTGTAAACACAAAATCAGTCCCCAGCATGGGAAACTATGCCTGAAGACTTTATTCTAGTGTTGTTATGATGAAAGTAAACTGGATCTGCTAGTGCAAGCAACTGCTGTAATCAGTTTGCTATTGAGAAGAGATATTGTGTGGTCTGAAGCTTTAAAGTACTATATGTCACCAACGATAATTATTAAGCGTCCTTAAAAAAACAACTTCTAGCTGCTTTAATATTTTAAAATAGGTAATAACGGCTGAATAATGCAACTGACAGCCAAGGCTTCAGAAAATAATTTGCAGTTATGAAATTACGTATCGCTTTTTCTAAGCACATGCTGGTTTATAACACAAAAGATTTTAAAGCGCGTAGTGGCAGTCTCAAACTCTCTTGTTTGTTGACAGAAATGCTGAACATACTGGTTAAAAGAAAAGCTGATGATGGTTTACTCAAAGCCTATGAGATTGGAAAAATTAATGTGACCAGGGCACAGTTAGTTTTGTGCATTTGGGCAGCACAGAGAATGTGGTGAAAACAGCTGTTCCTTGCACTTACACTATCAGCCTATCAACACCAAAATGTGCTACAACACAGCTACCCAAACTGTTTATACTCCACGTATAAAAACCATGGGTTTTAAGGAAATTAAAATACATTTTAAGCACAAGACTTACTATAATTTCCTGAAGAAACAGATACGCTGGTTAACCAAGCTCAGAAAGGCACTGAAAGATTTTACTAGTTGTGTTCATAAAAACATTCTAACTACTCAAAAAATCAGGAAAATATTACTTAGAAGACTCTTTGCATTAGTCTCACTAGCTGAGCCAAAGCATATTAAGAGGTGAAGAGCAGACTGATAAAACAACTTGCAGCTGTAGAACTGCATGCACGTTGAACACACAGCATGCACACAAGCAAAGGGCACGCGATTGCCCGTTACACACTTTTCCTTGATACCATGCCATTACTAAGCAATCCCATTCTCAAGAATGCTGTTTTTCTAGAGTCTTCAAGTTAGACAGGAAAAAAGAAAAACTATTACTCAAGGGCTAAAACAAATTAGCTTGTGGAAATGAAGGGAAATTGGGCTTCAAGCATCCCACTTCTGTGGTCCCAAACAAAGAAAGTGCACACAGTGTCCGCGAGGGCCGAGGGAGGCCATTTTGCTTCCAAGTGTCTTTAGCCACCGGTCCAACGAGCATTAACGAGACTGGCAGGCCTACAAAGAGATATTCTCCTCCCTAACAAACACAACATTCTTCTCTTCAAGTCTTCATTACGCCAATGCGCTCTTGCATTTCACAGAATTACAGGAGTCTCGATTTATGCATATTCCTCCTCTTTGATTAACTCCTTGCCCTTCTCAGTCTTCAGAAATATTCCACTCCCTCTGGCAAGTCTGTCCCCAAAGACAGATCCTTCGCCCCAAAGGACAGGATCCCTTCCCAGCACAAGCACTGCATCACGTCCTGGAACGGGTAAGAACGTGCAGCCAGTTTCTCACAGCAGCAGCACAACCCGACATCCCCCAGGGACGAGCGCCTTCGTTATCTAATTCTGTGCGACCGGCAAATCTGTCACGTGTGGATCACCACCAGAAAGGTCCTGAAGAAGCAGCTGACAGAGCGTAGCGTCTCCAAACTCGCCTCTTCTGCCCACAGTAAGATAACAGGAATACACAGGGATAGCACCTGCACTTGCTTGTGCTGGTTTCACAGCAAGGCATTACGTAGAAAGACCAGGAGTAAAATGGAGTAGACCCCGTTTTGACCCCTTACTTCAGCAAAGGAATCATAAGTGCCATCCTCGGTGGAAAACAGTGAGTCCCCATGACTTCACGCAATTTAAAGCCCAAGACGACATCACCCTCACTTTAAATCTATTTAAGCTAGAAAACAAAAATTGTAATACACGGTAAATATGATCCCTCGTGCTGGCAACACTGCAAATCTACTTTATTCCAAAAGTGACATGTTTGAAGACAAAGAAATCACACTTCATTACTCCAATATATCCACAATTTTGAGTTGAAAATGAAGCTGCTCTGTGAAATATTTATAAAATGTTCCAGTATGTTGGGGGTTTTGTAAATACATTTGAAAGAAGGTAACACTCAGGTGAGGTTCCATCTAAGGGCAGAATTGGGCACTCCTCCCTGAAAAAACGTTGCAGGACACAAATGCACAAATTTTTGAGAACACCTTCCAGATCAGCAAGTCACCTTAGCATCAATTAATTTTCCAATTTTTTTTAAAGCTTAAAAAGCCCACCTTTCTTAAATACCTTTTCTTCTAAGACAGTACTGTGTACAGCCAACTCTGACAAAGCTACAGAAACCTTCCTAACACAAGATAAAAATTAAGGACAAATCTTGCACATTTCTGATGCTGCCCCAACAACAACTAGCTTTCAAGTCCACGGTAATCACCATTTACCACAAACCCACAATATTTTAGACAGCTAAGTAGCCTGTGAGAGAGCTGATACCTGACTGAAGGACCACAGATAGCCAAGTCCGAAGTTGCTCCGCGGATTCGAAAAGCGGCACTTCTCCCACTTCACCTCTGAACAAATACCTCACCAAGACCCAGATGAGGCAGCTGGAGGCATCGTCAAATAATCGAGGCTCCCACCACCTATTGCCAAAGGTCCAGTGAACAGTTTTGATAGGAAAAGAAATGCTGAACAGTCTTTCCAAAGTCTATTGCATGAAACAGCTGAAGTATTCTTCACATTCAGCCCTGGACTGTAGGCAGCTCGTCATGTAGCTGCTGACCTGCCATGTATCATTGCACGCAAGGATTATCCGTATGCCTTACAAAAAAATTTCAAAGCTTAAAAAAAAAAAATGTATGTTTCACGGACAGATCTACAATAGCTATGCCATGCAGATGGAAGATACTGTAACTTCCGAACAGTGTATTAGCAAAAAAAAAACACCTTCAAATATAGCTAAAGAGTTCTGTAGAAGAGGCATTCAGGAGTCTCTTCAGGTTACAAAAGAACCAGAAAATACATTTACTTGCTTAGCTGTATGACACTCAGAACGCTGTATTTTGGTGTACTGCAGACATCTCAAGGCCATTTTCAGCTTTGATTTCATCAGACCTCATTAATTAAGCAAGTTAGATACTAAAGAAGAAAGACCTACGGGGAGAAGTGATCGGATGCTTTGGGGAACAGCAGAAGCATTTTTCACTCCAAGCCAAAACTCAGCCAGTGTTTCACTGCTTTTATGGGAGAGTCGAGTCAAAAGAACAAGGGGGATACAGTTCAGGTGATGCAAATAGGAAGTTTTAGCCACTAACAGTCACTGTAGCTTCAGAGGCAGACCGACTCTCCAGGAGCAGGAGTTGGGCCTCACATCCAGCCGTAATCCTGTCATTTTAATAAACTAATGCCAGTCAACACACGTGAATTCTCTTCCGAGAGGCAATGCAGCTTCTGCTTCAACCTTGGCAAGAAAATGAATCCTAGATGGGTTTGTACTTCAGTACAAGACTGGATTAACAGAACCTACGAAAAAAGACAGCTCATCACCATGAACAATCTGAACTTGAAATCCATCATTTTAACTTCATAGAAACATTGGTTTTCAGATACCCAGTATCTTCAAGTACTGGATGAAGAGGTGGTTTTCCTCATTCGGTATCTTTCATCATCTTCATCCATTCTCGTTTCCCGTGCTCCGCTTTGCTTGCCTACTTTCTTTCCAATTTGCCGTGTACAAAGACAGCTGTTTATAACACAGCATTCTTAAACTGCTTGTTACAACTTGGTACTATGCACCAGAAATCATCACGTCTAATCATCTTGACCTAAAAACAGCTCTGAAGATCCAGGTCATCTACAGGTGTGCTGGGGAGACCAAAGGTCCATCTAGCTTACCTAGCACCTCTTCTCCCACGGCATGCAACAGGGGATGGCTAGGGAGGTGCGTAACAGAACAGAGCCGCTTCCCCAGGATACACCTCCAGCCCCCTGCTCACCACGGACTTCTTGAGCCATCAGAGGGTCTTTGCACAGCCTCCGAAGGATTTTCTTCCATGAACTTGTTCGGTTATTTTTCAACTAAGATTTCACAACCTTGTGGCAGACAGTATCTAGGCTCTGGGTGTGAAACAACCATTTCCTAGTGCAAGTCATACCACACGTGACTACCCATTTCTACCACATCGTTTCCCCACCACTTCTCTTCCCGTTTGAAGGTGCTGCTTCATACGCTTCCCCTACAACACTTAGCACAACTTCAGAGACAAAAAACCTGAATGTCTAGGTCATCTTTAACCATGCAGCTGAGACGAAGATGACAACTTTATTTGTAAAACCAAACTGTAAAACTGAAAGTAAGAGGAATTCTTCATTCTTTAGAATTCACAAATACACAAGACTGACATTTCTTAACACAGTTTTATTTTTTGCAGTTAAAAAAAAAACCAAACCCTAACTCTTTCGGTTATTTTGCAACACCGTGGTCTAAACATGGCTTGCCCCATGAGGTCCCAAAACAGTCTGAACTGCCTATGCAGCAGCAGGTGTACATAAAGAAAAAAAAATACTACTCAGAATAAGTTAATATATGCCAGAGCTAGAAGCAGCCGTGACAGGGAGAAAAGGTTGCGTAGTTGCAGTCGGATCAGAATGTCTGGAAAACACATGGTACACTGTAGTGCCATTAGGGCAAGAAGTTATAACCTTTAATCTCCCCGGGAAACTTCATAGCTAATTTGTCGAGAAGTACTTTTAGTAAAAACATTTGCTTCGTGTTAGAAAGCACCAGTAAGCAAGCGACTGAGCAATTCACATTTAAACAGATTACACTTTTCCAGCGTGCTTCGTCCATTTATTAACACAAACCCAAACTTGTTGCCCTGTTCAATTTTACACGCTTTTGTTTTAAATCGAACTTCCCTTTAAGTTGTCAAGCCTGCCCCAAGAGCTGCACTTCTCCCTGGCCTTCAGTGCTTACCGTGTAAAAGTACTTGAAAATTTATTTTTCTTCTGAAGCCCCTAATGCAGCTGTCACCGTCTTAACTATTCATTTGCTTTTTTAATACACAGCACAAATAGGGCCTAGCAATCTTGCATGATTTTGCCAAATTGCAAAAAAGCACTCCCCCACACAGGCTTTCTACACGTTTGTTGAAGACTATTTAAAATTTAAACACATGAAACTAATAACGGATTATTCAATTTTTTAAAATTACGTTCTCCTGTATTTTTGACATATCGAGCCTAGGTCTTTCAAGAAAAATCCACAGCTTTCAGAATGCTTTTCTCTCTCCCAGTATTCACCAGTTCCTTCCTTTTCTTCCTTCAAGAGCTGACACTGTTACTTGCTTCACAGCTGAAAGCTCAGTCAGATGAATGAAAGCATTTTGTGCGTCCCTCAGAGCTAGTCTTCAGTCTCTGGAATAGTCAATGTCCCACAGACCACATTTGGAAGATTAAATTTTTGCAGATAAATAGGCTGCTTTGTTTTAATGCAGACTTTCCAGGAGGGGGGGGCCTGAATACATGAACATCTCATCTACCCTACCGAGATTCAGCATACAATTTCTGCACGCATTTTAGTCACCCAGATGACATTAGTATTTTACTCCACTGACAAAGGCTTTGTTTTGTCATTTGAAACCCACTGCAGAAGACATAAAAAAAAATCAATGTGTATGGCAACTTTGAAATGCAATTTGGAACAGAACACACTGTGCAGCAGTTACAATAATGTACCAGCACTGTTTCTAGCATTTTGAAATTTGCATGTAAGCACTCAAACTGGCGAACAGCGTCACAATTCATTTAACGCACAGTAAAAAATTAGTTCATAAAACAGTGCAGCAGGTAAGATGCCGAGTACAAGTTTATGCAATAATCTCTGAAAAACACTCACCTTCATATGAGTGCATTCAATGTTACACAGAGAACACATATGTGGAAATATTCTCGGAGAAGTAGCATAGTAGTCATTCATCATTGACGGAGTGGGCAGTCTTTTTATCTTCTGGGCGTCAGACTGCAGAAACACTGGAAGCCACGACGCTTTCACAATACCAAAAGGAGATTTAATTGGCCCCTCAGCCTGTGTCTGGAAGGGCTTCTGTCCTGCTCCTGAGCCGCTCTGGGCATTAGACTGGCTTTTTCCAGATTCATGCGGAATTCTTTCATGCTGGCTTACAGCTGCAAGAAGTTCAGCTGAAAAGGGTGGCTGGGTCATCGGCGGCATTACGTGCTGGGTCATCGACTGCTGGACAAGAGGCGGCATGACAGGTGGCATCATGGGCTGTGCCAAGGGCGGCATCATAGGTGGCATCATAGGTGGCATGACAGGCGGTATGGCAGGCTGGGATACAGATTTCACCACGGGGAGTCCAGCGGGTGTTGCACACAAACTGGACACCTTTCCCGGAGTCTCCGCTGGAAAAAATGATCGGTTATTTGAGGAATCATTCTGGAACCCCGTTGGTTTTATTAAATCTTCAACTGGAAACACTGGATTACACGTCACGCTAGATGGTGGGACTCCCATTGACATATTCTGCTCTCGTTGGAAGTCTTCCCTGTTCTCTCCGCTCGAAGCTTCAGGATTATAGACACGTGCTTCGAGAGGATCTTCAGTCAGCACTTCAGGATTATAAGCACGCACTTCAAGAGGATCTTCAGTGTAACCGTATTTGCTTGCATGCCCATAATCAATCACTTTACTCTTGACTGCTGTACCGCTCGTACCACCAATCGTTTCTTCTGCTCGGCTCTGAGAATGTAAACCAGATAAAGAATGACCCATCTTGCGAATCCGTATTTCTCTTAAGATTAGTGGCATATTTTCAGGCGTTAACTGATCATCTGGATAGCGACTGAGTTCCTCCAGATCTTCATTAGACAGCCCGAAACTCGCCAAAATACTGGAAGCGCTTTCTGGTGTGTAGCGGTTCTGGGCATTTGAATTCTGCTCTGTGATCCGCGCTGAGGCCGGTGGCTTTTGCCCAGTTGTCCCAGCTGAGCACGGGCTACTATCCCAGCAACTTGTGCGAGGCTCTCCCTTCTGCTCCTGGTGTAGGTTCGTCTTCTCCTTCACCCGCCTCGGATCAGTCCTGTGCAGAGTTACCCGAACGTTTATCCTCTGTGAACCCGTCCACTGAAACGTTTCCTGTCCCGAAAATCTCTGTGCCGTTCCTTGCGGTGTTCCAGGTGCAGGCTTTCTCTGAAGACCTGCTGCACCTCCTCCCCTAAAGGATCCTGGAGGCTTTGTGCCAGACGGATTAGGTCCTCTCGGCCTCTGAGGTAAAGTTCCTCTAGGGCTAAACATTGCGCTTTTCAGAAATGCCTGATTTAACCAAGCATAAGGAGGTGCAGAACTGTTGGTAGCAACTGAGGTCAATTGCTGAAGAGCCAACTGTGTCTTAATTTGTGCAAGCTGTAAATGAGGAGGGCCCAACAGAAGTGGGCTTGCAATGCCAAGGTTCAAGGAATTCACAAGTGGTGCGAAACTTTCCAAGAATAACACAAAGCTGAAAGTTAAAAGACAAGTATTAGATTATTTTATCTTTTCACCTACTTTACGCAGTGGATTCTATAACCCGTGAGAAAAACAACTGAAGTCACAAAACAGTATTTTAATGACAGTTTAAATGGTACTTTAGAATGCGAAGTTCTGTGGAACAAAACCATTTTCTTTCACTGGATAAAATCTTAATATGCAGCGAATAGGTAACAGATGATTAAGTAAACGAGCTTCGCCCAGCAAGTTCAACGTCACAGGTAACATACCTAGTGATAACACACTTTCAACAGCATTTTCTAGAACTTCACATTTCAGTTCTTAATGACAACATAGTTTGGATTTATTTACAGTTAGAGCTATTTTATGAACAGTAAGCCAAAGTATTAAAACCCTCTCCAAATGTTTATGAGGTAAGTGGAACCATTTTGTAGAGAATTCAAAACAGTCACAACTTGGATGTCAAGTCATCGTGGAATCGATCTGAAGACAGCAAACAGTTTTCAGGAGGGACGCTCCCATGACCACTCTCATGGGTAAACTGCTATACCCTGAAAGTATTCAAAGGGTGTGACAATATTTGAATTCTGTGGCTAGAAAATATCCATTTCCCAGATGTTAAAGGCAAGATCTTAAATTGAAACAACTGTAAACAGGCAGGTGTAAAATCGTACAAAAACTGAAACCATCTACATACAAGCATAAAAAAAAGAACAACGGCAATGGAAGCTGCCATCTTTTACTTCAGCCGAAACCACTGAGAGCCGAAGGCAGCAAAAGAATGTACAAACACAGGGAGAATGAGACAAAGCGATGCTCACACTAACAACAAATGAAATACCAGAGAGTTTTGGAAATGCATTCTTGTAGCATACTCAAAGCAAGGTGCCTCACCTGCCCAGCTCTGCCTGCACTTTTAACACTCCAAAACTGCACGCTCAGCACAGTCAGAGGATCCCAAGAAGTCCTCACTCCACCCCTTGTCAGTCTGCCACCTCCCGAAACTGGGAAACCTGCTGTTTTCATTCTTCTTGCAGCAATACATTGGGTTTGAATGAGTTTTACTAGCAGATTTTCACTAAGGATAACTACAACAGGGCTTGCAGACATTCCTAGTTGTTTCTGAACTTGCGTGCTGTATTTCTGCGGTGTTGAGGTTCTTGTCTCACCAACACTGACTCCATCACAGGTTTTGTTTTCAAACCTCACTTGAGTTGCCTCTAAACAAAAGTTTTTTAAGCAAATGGAGGTGCCTCATGTTTGTCATCTGTAAGGACTGGAGTTCTGAAGTTTGAGAACCACAACTCAAAAAATACAAATTACATATGCAGCTATAGCTTGAGAGGGGTGAACCACGTACAAGCTGCAGGAGGCTCAGATTTTATGGCTGAATTCCTGTAACTCATTACTCTCTGTATGTCAAGCATTCTTTTTAGGTTCTATTTTTAATTTCAACCAAGTACAAACTGAAGTCAGGCCAAGGAGAAACAGTAGCTGCAGAAACATTACCCGTATCTCTTCTCCATTACAGAAACATAGGAAGCCATCATAAAGGAAAGATTCCCACCAAACAATCCCAGAACTCTGGCCTCTAATACAGGACTCCTTACCCAATATCCCTCCTCCCTCAACAAATTAAATCATATTAAATGGTAACTGCGTGTTAGGCCAAGTTCGTTCAAGACCATTTCAAAACAGATTATTAAGCAAACATCCACAACGTAATCTCTTGCCTTTCAGTTTTGCTCTTCCTTGGATCTCTCATCACTGGAGGGCAAAAAAACCCCTCAGCACATCAATTTGGAAAGTAGTCGGAGAGCAAACAATATCAAAGCCACCCGTAACAAGTAAGAATATATTAGTAGAGCACATTTTAAAAAGAAACATGCCGGTTTGCAAACTGAACCTTAATTCAGTGGATTAGGAAACTCCCGGGGGATCTGTTCAGGAGCAAACCAGAACTTCAACGGGAAGCATTTTTACCACTCAATTAGAGACTTCCAGGCAGCATAGCCCACTCAGTCACCAGCGTGCTGCCATCAGGTACGCTCCCACACCAGCATCTTGAACCACTGCCACAAGTCACACGCCCCTACAAACCTCTTGTCAGAGTTCGCCCACCGTCAGCCTACCAGGAGATGGCGATCCGAGAATCAGCAGGCAGAAAAAGCCAACCAGCATATTGCATGGCCAGCCCAGTATCAGAATGCCACGATGAGATGTCTTCTGTTTTACGAGAATTTTTAAAGCTATCACTCCAGCCAACTCCTAAGGTACACGGTCACGTTCAACAGGGAATATGGGTATATACTCACTTCACCCCAGAGTGTGCAACTGGAGTAATCCATTTAAAAGCAAAACATTAAATTTCTTTTGCTTTTCAGTGAATATTCTAAACTAAAATTGAGGATAACTTTTTCGCACTTTGTTTTAGCAACGGTACTCCAAAATGAGGAAAAAACATCTTCCATTTTGGATACTAAAAACATAAAAATAGCCTTACTGAAGTAGAACAGAGGTCCAATATCCTGTGTTCAACAGTAACCAATACCTGATGCTACAGACCATGCTCTAAGTTAATGTACTTTCTCCTAAGTCCTGAAACTTTCGTCAGTTAACAGTCTAAAGGTTCTAATGTCATTTTACCCGAGATGTTAATTAAGCAAAATAGTCAAACAGAGACTTTTCTCAGAATCAACGACCAAAATGCTGCAAATCTGTTCAGGACATGGTATAACGGGACTGCTAACTTACTGTGCTGGTTTTGGCTGGGATAGAGTTAATTTTCTCCACCGTAGCTGGTACGGGGCTGTGTTTTGGATTTGTGCTGGAAACAGTGTTGATAACCCAGGGGTGTTTCCGTTATTGCTGAGCAGTGCTGACACAGAGTCAAGGCCTTTTCTGCCTCTCACCCCACCCCACCCGCGAGCAGGCTGGGGGGGCACAAGAAACTGGGAGGGGACACAGCCGGGACAGCTGACCCCGACTGACCCGAGGGATATCCCACACCACATGGCGTCATGCTCAGCATAGAAAGCTGGGGAAGAAGAAGGAAGGGGGGGACATTCGGAGCGATGGCGTTTGTCTTCCCAAGTCACCGTTGGGCGTGATGGAGCCCTGCTTTCCTGGAGATGGCTGAACACCCGCCTGCCCAGGGGAAGGAGTGAATGAATTCCTTGTTTTGCTTTGCTTGCGCACGTGGCTTTTGCTTTCCCTATTGAACTGTTTTTATCTCAACCCACGAGTTTTCTCACTTTTACTCTTCCGATTCTCTCCCCCATCCCAACGGGGGGGGAGCGAGCGAGCAAGCGGCTGCGTGGTGCTTCGCTGCTGGCTGGGGTTAAACCACGACACTTACCCTCCAAAAACATTAAAAAACAGCCAGCCTCAGAAGTGGATGCTCCTTACTGAACAGGACCATGAGAGCCACTTTCTCAGCCGCTGTCGTGTTGAAAGACACACACGAAAAACAGTCTTTTCAGGTAAACAGAAGAGACGTGGCACTAGCATTTAAAACTACCTTCCTCAGTCAGGAAAATAAGAGAACAGATACCAAGGATTTATCTCCCAGACCAAAACTGTTAGGTTCTCCATCAATAATTGAAGAAATACAAAAGACAGCTTTGTGATTTCTGTGTTGAAAAGGCTAGTTCATGAAAATTCAAAACATCAGTACAAAGTAACCTTGAAGCCGAGGTTTTAAAAGACACCCGTATTTGTGCTGTACAGCCCTTAATGACTCTGAAACCTATTTGCAGTGAAACATTCAGGACTTGACTCAGGTCCACAATAACGCAAATATATTTGAGCACGTCTAAGACATTCGTTGCCTTGTCACCTGGCCCTAACTACACCCGAAGTCATAGGAAATAGAGGCCAAACATTTAAACCACGTTCTTCCCGGTGGAAGTCGTATGCCCAACTTCTCTTCTGACATCCAGTCAAGTGTTGTACAGCAGCAAGCACGCAATGAAGCCTTAATTAACCGGCTGGGTCTCGTGACTGACCTTTTCAAAAGAAATGCTGGAAATGACAGTTGAAAGATAAACTGATGCCAAGACTAAGGAAACAATGGTCTGGACATTTAAGGCTAGACTCTCACCTTCCTCTTCAAAAGAAGCTTTGTTTGGGGTGTGTCTGTGATCCTCTAAACTGCTTTTTCTGCTGCAGTGACGTCCTGACTAGTCTTACAGCAGTGACCAAGCAGCCTTGCCGATGCTTCATCGTAAGTGAATGAAAAATAGGCAGAATGCTCCAGAGACCGCTGTCCTCACCTGACTCCTAGAAAAATTAGTCCTTGAAACTTAAAATTTCAGAGTATCACAGAAAAGCCAGATGATACCCTTTCTTGCTTTCCCTCCAATTTCATCAGTCCATTTTGCAAAGCTTCCCAATCCGGACAGATAAATTAAAAGTTCTGGCTACCTGCTCACACACTGGAGGGCCTCAACAACAACATTTGCCCACATGGTGAGTACAGGATGGTCTGGCACCTTCCCCTCGAGGATACAGCTAGAATAAGCTTTTACCCTCTCTCCCTGTAACCTTCCTCCCTCCCCAGAGGTCCAGCTGCCTGGACAAAACAGGAGGCCTAAGTTGCAGATTACGAGACCTCGTAAGAGTGTGGAAGCTGCTTTCTCTAGTCACAAGAGAAGGCTTTACCTGAAGATATAGTCTCACAGAGTCATCGAAAGGGTAATTTTCTGCTGATTTGTCTCTATAAACAGTACTGAATTTTCTGGATATGTGCTAATTACAGAGCAGTCAAGTAAAGATTGCATTTCAATATGATGACACTTTGGGAACCCAGGCATACTGCAGAGACCAATACTATTGCTAATCAAATATTCACCCACAGCCAACATCTTCAGGCCACGAAGACAGAGCAATGGCAAGCC